ATACTTTCATTAGGCATTCACATAAGGAGAAGAGGCAGTGTGCTGTGCTGTAGTAGAAAGAGTGCTGGATTTTGACCTGGAGGATCTGAGTTCAAAGCAAAGAAAGTGATTTTTGAGTATATATTGCCAGCCCCAACTATCCCTTTTCATTTTTTTCAGTCTTCAGTAAGCCACATTTCCACATCACTTTTCATGTACATTTCTTCCTCCCTCTACACATATCTTTGCAAAGAAATTTCCCTGATATAATGCATTTTTGTATGTGATGTTCACTAATATGTGTGTTTTAATCTGCACTTCCTTCTAATCTATGTATTTTATTTCTTGGGGTCAGAGAACCGCATCACTAACTTCAGAGAAGGGTACATTTCAAAGATTGGTGTCTTTTGGTTTACGCATTGTTTTGGGAAGGGTGGATTGTACAGATTCACAGCAAAACCAATCCCCATGCAGGGTTAGACAATCTTGCCCTTCAGATGGTGAGAAGTACAGCTCCCATGATCATTGATCATTAGCTTATGCTGATGGGAGTTGCAGTCTACAACTGGAGGGCAACACATTGGCTACCCTTTGACTGAAAAAGAATTCCATTAAAACCTTTTTATCCAGGTCCATTACCCACTGGAATTTAATCTATTAACAGCAGCAACCTTTATCTTTGGGGGGAAACTGGAGGAACGCAAAGACTCTTGCCTGTAAAGACTGGATAAAGAAGGTTTGGTCTTAAAGAAATAAGTAAACAAGGAGGATTATGGGATGGCAGACAGAGTAACAAGGGTAGTATATTTTCTAATCAATTACGGTAAAATAAATCGTTGCATTCATATATTTTATTACATCACAGTTAATGATTTAATACTTGATTTTGTGTGTGATTCTGGAAGGGAAATCGATGGAAATATGATGTAGACCGTTTAAGTGTTTTTTTGTTATGTTTCAAATGAATAAAAATCATGCATTAAAAAAAAAAGGATGTAGGAACATCAGCAAGACTTAAAGTAGGCTGGTCAACAGAAACCACATACTGAGTGAGTAGTGGGTTAAGGAGGAAGAGACCTAAAAACATATTTGAAAGAGGACAACCATTAATGTGTTAGTATCTTTAAGGAATTGTAGTGACATGCTGATTAGCATTGTTCTCTAAAGACTGCTCCAGATACTTTTTTTGTTTGAGAATGTACCTTTTCAGCATCTCTGTACTGTAGATTAAATTAAATTGGAATAATTGACACCTTCTTATGTAGTTGAAGCCATCACTTAACACAGGCACCTTCTCAAAATTGTATCACAAGACACTTGGTTACACTTTCACATGCTTTATCTACCCTAATTATGTGAATAAGGCTGTGATAAATGTGCACAAATCGGCTTTACATGATCTTGAGCGTTGCCCTAAAGTGCAGTTTTAAAAGGGAGGATTTATTCCACACTTCCAAAGCCTTTAGCATGAATGTTCTCACAGCATGACATTAATAAGTCAGTCGTTCACATACACAGCCTTGGGAACTTTTCAGATATGTTGCTGTGTGTGAAATACCAAGTTGTGACTGTATCAAGGTGTGTACACACTTCGTTTGTGCTGTCTGGTAAGAGCTGCACATCATTATTTGCTTTGGATGTAGACTGCCATTGGTTATTCATGCCTTGGCCCATGATTAGAATACTGCAGTGTGCTTCAGACAGTCTTGATGACTGGAGACAGGAAAAGATGTCCCTCACAAGTATCAGGCTTGCAGCAAGAGAGAAGTGTTCATAGATTAATCACTACCCTCTTGAAACATATGCACCCAATCCTATGCATGCATGCCTGCTCAAAAGTGAGATCCATTTAATAAGGGATCCATTTTCCTTTTTATTTCTGGTGAAAAAAGATGCTGAGTGCATTTTTTTGTCTTAGTGCCAGCAATATATACTTGAGTAACATGCTCAAGCATGCTTTTCCTTGCACCACCACCAGATAAGATGGTTTTCTAAATCAAGGAAGAAACAAAGCTAGAGTGCTTTGCTTTGCTTTGCTTTCTTTTAAACATAAGACAAAAATCTTAAGCTGTGGCTCTTAGGAACCGGCTGTTGAGAAATTAGAATATGGTGCAAGGGTGCTGATAGTGGCCCCTGCCATTTTATGCACTCCAAAGTTAGAGCAGAGTCAGTACTGCGAATATGGGGGGGGGGGAATTACATTGTCTTTTATATTTGGCTGGGTTAAAAGAAGTTGTGCTACTGGTATGGATACCAGTTAAGAGAGGGTTTCCTGTCACCTCGAAGGCAATGTATTCTGGTGGCATTCATTCATACGTTCATGTGCCAGCTGACAAAACTTTAAATAACTTGAGAATGAAAACATAGTGACAATGACTAATCATATGTATTGTATGTGTATGCATTTTGGAATGAAATGTGACTCATCTGGCCACCTTTTTATGGGTGAGAGAGAGAGCATCTTGGATGGTAAATTATTAACACTGATTCTGAAAGCTTTCAATGGAATAAGTACTTCTGTATGTCCATGTACACCACTAACAACCTTCCATAAAAGCACTGGTGAAGCCCTTAGCTCAGTTGGTTAGAGTGTGGTGCTAATAACACCAAGGTTGCAGGTTCAATTCCCACATGGGACAGCTGCATATTCCTGCATTGCAAGGGGATGGGTTAGATGATCCTCATTGTCCCTTCCAGTTCTACAATTCTATGTTTCTGTGGGCTGTATAACACTCCTATGGCGCTTCCGTAGCTATCTTTCCCCCAGGAGGTCAAAAAGCATCCACTCTATTCCCCCCTCCCTCATATTAGCTGGCCTTATTCATAAACATCTTCTGAAATACGTGTTTGTTCTGCAGTTCATTTAGCCTAGCGCTCACCATGTGGGTGGGTGTTGTTTGACAGGGATGCTTGTGAGACAGTGGTGCTCAGGGCAAGAAGGCAAGGCTCATAATTATTTTATTTTTATCTGAGAGGAAGAACATTATGTCTGAAATAGGCTGATCACAAATCCAGAGAAAGTGACCAGGGACTCAGTTGGCAGATTTCTGTCTTCTGGCAGTCATGATATAACATAAAATATTCACTAAAAATACAATTTTCAAGAGAATGCAGATTACTTTTCCTCCCCCTCCCCCCTTTTTTATATTCCCAAACTGCATTGTTAATTTGCACGTCAGTGTGCAATATAGATTTCAGGTTGCTATGGTGATGGTTTTGCCCACACTAACTTGACATTAGCAATGCTGAAAAGAGCTCTGATGAAGACAGCAGCTGATATAAAGGCTGTAATGATGCAGCTTTTGACCTTTGACTGTTTTATCAGCAGCTATTGTTTTCCTTCTTAGGCTAACAAAAACAAGGATTTGATTTTAAATATTAGCACTTGTGTGATGTCGAAACAAGGACGGTCAAAAAAATTCATAAAGCCACACAGAAGGTTAAGGCAGAACTTCTTGAAGAAACCCAGTTATATCACAGGGAGTGATAAATCATTTGGCAGCTTTATTTGCGTCAGGAATCAATGAATAATTTCTCGCAAGGTCCGTGTCAACATTACACCTCTGATCGGATTACAATATAAGGTGAAGCCTGTCTCTCTGTGTTAAAATTTAAGAATAATTTTTGACCCTGGTCCAGAGACTGTCACTCACATTGGTAGGTTGCATAGATGCTGTTATGCACAAATATCTCTACCAAAAAGACAGTGCCTGTGCTTTGCTGGTGCTGATCACCTTCCAGGGATAGTGGTGTTCCTATAAGCTGATATCACCAACCATCCTGGGATCAGTTTACTAAAGGGATTGCCTTACCCATTCCTTGTCTGCTCATTCACTTCAATCCGCAGAACATGCCACACATTTTTTCTTCTACATTTGTGAAGAGTGTGGCAGCACCTGCACTCTACATCTCCCTGCCTGTGGACAGTAAGCAGGCACCTTCACTATTTTGTTTTATTTCATTTATTTTCTGTTTCAGTACGCCGATCCAGACATAGGATTTGTTTAAAATATTATTGGTTTTAATTATGGTTTGATGCACATTTGCTTTTGACTGGTCTGCATATTTTAGTCATGTTTTATGCATAATTGGACTGCTTGGAGATCTTTTATTGAGCTATAGTTTATAAATTTACTAAAGGGGGGGTCTGGTGGATTGTGTGTGGTTCAGGAATATTTTGAGTGCTGAGTGGTGTTCCTACCAGCCCCACATCTCCATCAGAATATTCACTTGCAAACCTAGATCATACTAAGAAGGGGAAACTATGCATGGAGCACCATTTTTATTACATAAGTGGCCCTTGCTTATATTGGGACCAGTTATTCTACTTCTCAAAAGATTGAAGTCTGGGAACGTTGCGGAATACTGACACTATATGGTTGTTAACGTTGCTAAATAAACCATACAGAAGTCTCAGGTCGAAACGGGTTCATGATTACCAACAGACCAACTCTCTGTGTTTGTGAGGAGAAGACAAAAGAAACAGAACTGGTTAAGATGGTCCCTAATAATCTTGATTCTGCATTTGTACAGAGAAAACATGTTCAACACTGATTTGTCATATTAGAAACCATCTTTCCTTGGGTCATTAACATGATAAATAAATAGCTGTATAATCTGATTCCAGTTACAGATAGGTAGCCGTGTTGGTCTGCCATAGTCAAAACAAAACAAAAATCCTTCCATTAGCACCTTAAAGACCAACTAAGTTAGTTCTTGGTATGAGCTTTCGTGTGCATGCACACTTCTTCAGATGCATTGAAACAGAAGTCATTCTGTTTCAATGTATCTGAAGAAGTGTGCATGCACACGAAAGCTCATACCAAGAACTAACTTAGTTGGTCTTTAAGGTGCTACTGGAAGGATTTTTTTTTGTTTTGAATCTGATTCCAGTTCAGGTTATATCATGAATCAGGCCAAACTCCACACCGCAGGGAAGTGTGTGGTTTCAGAAATGAGTCTGCCTTGCATTCCAACACTGAGAGATGCCCAACTCTTGATTTTTCCACTTTCTTTTTTAGATGACTGAACCCACCTACAATTTTACCGGCTGTATAGAAGTTACAGAAATCAATAACTTGGGACCCTTCACCTTTGCTAATGCTGTGAACAAAAACAATATTGACAGTTGCAGGTAAATCACATTCTGTATCTTTTCCAATCGAGAACAACTGATTCTCTAAGACTGTTGTAGCTTGAGATACAGTTTCTCATTTTCAGACTGGTCTAAAATACATGTGGGGGGGGGGAGTATGAGTGCATTTCTCTTGATATACCTTTTCTCCTCTTCTATATGTGGGAGCAAAGGGTGGTGGTGGGGTGCAGAATAGTCCAATTAAGCCTGACAGCTTACATATTCTGGGGTTAGTGAACAACAGAATGCAAGATAAAAATCAAGGTGGGGGGAAGAGGTATACATAATAGGTTTCTCCTCACTGTATTAGAATTTCCATCAATGTGTGTGAAAGGCAGGAAAACTGGTGTTGTATGTAAACGAGGCAACCAAACATTAAAAAATAATATTGGGGGGCAGAGAGTATTTTTGTTGCTAGCTATTTAGTAGGGTATTCATTTGGAAGGGGAGCAGTAAAGAAGATCCTTTCATGAAAGCTTCCTTCTAACACGGCTTTGTGGATGAAAATTAGCTGGACCATGTTTGCTATCCAAACCTATTTATTATCTCTCATGCAAAAGGTAAACTTGTAACACCCAGTGTGTAATTCATGATGTCATATCGCTTCACTTGTTTCCTTCAAATTATTCAGCCAAGCCCATTTTGCAACTCATTCTCTTTTGTAATTTTGATGCTGTTTTTTAAGATTTCATAACTTGTTTTTGAGAATTTCATTGTGTGTTTTTGTTTACATAATTTTTACTACAGACCTATGATAAATGTGTGTCAGGAAAGGAGATTGCTTGCATAATTAGGGCTTAATGTAGCAGGATTTGTCATTACAAAAGAAGTTTTTTGAAATGATTATTTCAAAAATAATATGGTCCAGGCCATCGCAATCCCACAAACACTCGTGGACTTTCACTCAGTTTGCACTCACTTCAATGGGGGCATGAAATACCGGATTACGTGGTATTTTGTAAGCAATTATGAAAATAAAAAAGCAAACTTTGCTCACTCCTTAAGTGTGGCTCTTCACAAGCAATAGCACAGGCCTTGGAGTTTTTATTATGAAATTGCAATCCCAATACCAGTAGATTGTACATTGGCACCTGGCTCACCCACAATCCCATTGCAGGACAGCCCAGTGATGGGGCAGGGCAGGGTGGTTGCGAAGGTGAGGAATGAACCAGGTTAGCAGTGGTAGTATATGCAGATGCATGTGTGGTTACACACACCATCATTCCAGTGTTTTCCCCACCCTTGCCAGCCCACCTAACCTGCTGCTGTTGCTGTTACCTGCTCAGTCTGAAAGGGATAAAACCTGCAACGGGCTTCCAATACTCTGCCAGAAGTGGACTGCCACTCTGAAAATAAATTAGTGGGTCTACACAGACATTGAGCAAGCTTTGGTATCTGAATTTGATAAAGCTGGGCAGCATCAAAGATCTAAAGTAGCAACGTCAACGTGTCTATAATAAGATGAAACACATGAAAGGCATTCAAAGTCTGACATGCTTTCAAAATGTTCATAGTTCATTTGAACATTGTCAAGTATGATATGTGAACTGGTTGCAATTCTCACCCAGTCCACTTGTCACATATCTTAGGCCTGAACAACTTCTGTACTACCAAAGCTAAGCGTTGCTCACCAGCCATGCATCTGTGGCCTGATGGAGGTTTGGACATTCTCCTGGTTTCTGCAGTTCTGGAAATGTACATACGGGCCTTTACTTCTTGTAAAGTTTGGTGTCTAACAGTAAACAAAAATAAATAGAACATAATGTAGAAGTAAAGGTAAAGGTAAAGGTACCCCTGCCCATACAGGCCAGTCATGACCGACTCTGGGGTTGCTGTGCTCATCTCGCTTAAGAGGTCGGGAGCCAGCGCTGTCCACAGACACTTCCGGGTCACGTGGCCAGCGTGATGAGGCTGCTCTGGCGGGGCCAGTACCAGCGCAGTACACGGAAACGCTGTTTACCTTCCCGCTATAAAGCGGTACCTATTTATCTACTTGCACTTAGGGGTGCTTTCGAACTGCTAGGTGGGCAGGAGCTGGGACCAAACGACAGAAGCTCACCCCGCCATGCAGATTCAAACCGCTGACCATACGATCGGCAAGTCCTAGGCACTGAGGTTTTACCCACAGCGCCACCCGCGTCCCAATGTAGAAGTAACACTCGCTAAATTTCTCTCCCAGTACAATGCCATGCAATTGTCAAGTAACTTTTATGTGCTTATGACATGAAGGCAAAATTTAATGTTGTTATCTTTGCAGTCATTTTATTATTCATAATATGTGTGTGTGTGTGGTATGGATACATTGTGTTCTCTGAACCTTGTCTTACAACGCGGTCTTCTTCTTGTATTGCATTGCGATACATTTTCTATCATATGGTCATTATTTTATTTTTAAGAAAGACATTTCATCAAGTACTGTCATATTGCCTCGAATGTACTAGGTGGCAACCCCCCCCCCCCCAAAGCTCAACTCTGTTGAGACCTTGGATAGTTTAATGGAAATTCTAAAACTGTTTCAGAAGTGTCAGCAATTTATTTATTTAAAGAAAAAGAAAAATACCAAGAGAAATGTTGCTCAGCATTCAGCAGGCGAGGCCTTTTATACTCCTCAATTCTAATATCCTCTCCTTTTATGGTGCCAACTTTATCACCAGTGAAATTGGGTCTGCCTGATTCAACATTAACTGTCTTTTGTGGGTTTAAACCTATGCAAGCAAGCATCTTGTATTATGGTGTTAATTCTTGGTTGAGATGGAATGGAAGCTGGATGTGGTTGTTGGCTTTTGCAGTCGTGTATGACTTTTAGCCTGCAATAGATAGATAAACAAAAAATTAAAATGACATTTTCAGATTTAATGGAATAGAGACATGTAATTTACATTCTGGAAGCCTCTGGAAGTCTATAATAGTTAGTTTGTTCTTACAAAAAAAAAAAAAAGAAGTGTGGTTCTGTTTTTGTAGTAGTGTTTCTGTGTGTTTTTTTAACTACTGTATTAGCATTAAATAATTTAACTAGTGAAGATTTTCTCAACACTTTGTGTGGCATTCAACTAAGCTGTACTCAAAAGTTGACCTACTGAAATGGGCCCAACTAAATCATATTTGTGCTTGGGAGCTGATTCAAATGCCCAGGGTGGCTATAGAGTAGTTTTTCATGTGACTAGCACCACTTCAGTATGGACATGAGGGGTTGCTCATAAGAATCTTTCCACATCCTCACATAGCAAGGAGAAGACTTCCCCATGTATGGATAGATAGATGGACATTTGGGGCTACTTTCAAACAACTGCTCCCTAATGGGCATTCTGGCGGGGTACAATCACTTGAATAACCGTTTCACACATCTGCTTAAACATTGCCTACAGATGACTAGGTATGTAAACTCTTTTTTTAATAGAAGATTTTAAAGAAATAGAGAATAATAAAATGAATAAACAACAACACCGTCCCCATAAGCATGCAAAGGGATGAATACATTATTGTAATACAGCATCCCATTGAATTTTACCCTGGCAGGGAAGTTGGCAAGAAGATGTCCCTCCAAAAAGACAAATTGTGATTGGGGTGAGTATCTTTCCACTCCTCCCTCAGTGGCACAGCAGATAAATGGATGCCACATTTTGATAAATTTATCTGTCGGGAGTTACCCCATAGGCTTTTTGCATTCTTGGGCAGGTTTATCATCAAAGCACCAATAGCCAAAGCCTAGTGTACCTTTAAACAAAAAACAAAAGAAAACAGAGGAGTTGTCCACCCACTTCCAGTTTTGTTCCACTTCTCATCTGGCCACTACCAAGCAATTTAGTCATCTTTTCCATCCATTTCCGTAGGAGTCATGTGTAACTAACTTGGCTCAGTGTCAACTCTTATTTTGAGAGCTGCCCAGGATGATGGCACATCCATAGGACTCCCCAGGAAGATATGAAAACAAAGAATATTTCATGTACAGTTTCTAACAAACACTTGGGTTTTTGCAGCTGACAAATTCTTAAATCCTGCCAAACAATTCAGATGTTGTGGCCAAGGTAGGCCCACAGAGAGGTCAGTCCCTCCACACTGACAGCCTAGGCATCTGTCCACGATGGAGATACTCAAGTTCCTCTTTGCTGCTTTGCACACTACAAAAGAAGCATTCATTCTCTTGTGCCTCTACTCTGTTGCTGCTGCTTGTAACATGTGAATTGAGAGAACTGAAGCTTTACTTCATTTGTTCTTTCTTTTTTTACTTGTGATCAATGGCCTATATAGAACAAAAGCTTTCTACAGCGGTATTTCAGAATGCAATACCAAATCTGTGTTAGCTCGTAGAAGCATTTTAGTATGTGGGGAGGGAATAGTGTGCAATGGTTGTTTTTTTTATTCTTAAAAAAATGAGTTCTTTTTAAAAACATTCCACACTATTCCTACAAAACTTTGTGCAAACTTATCCCACAATCACACCGACCTTATCTTCTGCCTGTGATTCCTCTAACAAGTTTCCCCAACACTGTGATGAGCTCCAGCTATCTAATCATTCTTTTAATGTGAATGAAAGCGAGTCCACATTCACGAACACCCCCTTTTTAAGGCACAGGTTTGTGAGTATATTTTAAACTTATGAATACTTAAGCAGTTTGGAATTTACTCAAAGATGTTCTGCCATTTCTATAACTAGATCTGTTTGGATTTCAAAATACCAAAAGGAAAGCTAAGGCGTGTGCAGAATTTAGTGAGCTTTTGAAAACAAACTCGATATGGGAGTTCATTAACCTTTTGAAGACTGTTTGCTTTCCTTCTTTAAAACAGTTCTGCTCAAGAGACAGCACATGCTATAACTAAATTTCAGGGGAAATGCCTGCAGCTATAAGGGCAGCCAGACCTTACTGGGATAAAGGAAGTCAATTTCTTCTTCTCCCAACCACAGCCTCACCCTGGAGCTGATAAGGGAGGCTTTCCTGCATCGCTCCCCTTGGGACCCAAAACTGTGAGCGGATGAGGCAAGTTGGCCTCAAAGGTGTCCT